TCTGTAGTATCATGGGGAGACTTGCTTTCTTTTCAGTGCCCTACTGTTGTTCCAAGTATGTAGTGGAAGCTTTTTCAGATTGTCTGAGGCTTGAAATTCAACATTTTGGGGTGAAAGTCTGCATGACTGAGCCTGGCTATTTTAAAACAAACATGACAGATGGCTAGAAGCTCCAGGAGAAATTTGAAAATTCTTGGAATAAAGGTCCAGCAGAGATTAAAGAAAGCTATAGACAAGAATTCTTTGAGAAATCTATCAGCTCTAACAAAAAGTCACTGGAAAATATTGCACGAACTTGCACCTCGTAATTGACTACATGGAACATGTTCTGACATCCTCTTACCCTCGATATCGCTATTCAGCTGGCTGGGATGCTTAGTACTGTTAGATTATATTTTGTCTAGAAATTTACATAAACCTGCACATGCTATCTAAATAGGGATTGGAAAGCTGACTCGTGAAGAAGGAACTGAACACTATGAAATTTGATGATGATGTTTCTGTAGCTTTTTAAAAGAAATTTACTCTTTGGAAGATTTAGTTCCCATCCTAATCCTCTGTGAAGGAGCTGGTAAATGCCTCATTTACCTGGAATCACTAGGGAATGAGGCATTCTACCAAGTCAATTTTCCAGAAAAAGGAAACTTTCCCTTTTATGCACCAAAACAACAAAATGATTTAAAAATAAAAGCCTTCCCAAAATGTAGGGCACATTTAAAAACACAGTATGCCGAGTCAGGCAGATCCAACTTCAAATCCAGCCTCATACACTTACTAGCTGTGCGAACCCAGGCAAGTCACAACCTCTGTCTGCCTCAGTTTTCTCATTTCTAAAAAGGGAGTAATAATAGCACCTACTTCCCAGGGCTTTTGTGAAGATCAAAAGAGAGGCTATTTGTAGAGCACTCTGCAAAAAGTGCTTTATAAATGCTGTTATGAAAATAATCATTATTATAATCTTTTGCTGAACATGATCCTTTGACTCTGTGTCATTCTTACATATATTATTATGTACACCTGCCTTCTGGGTTTGCTGAAGTACAGAAGGATGTTTGCCCCTACACTAAATGGTCCCAGACGTCTATGCTTTCATAACTGGTGTTTCAGTTGTCTCTTCCCACAAGGCACTTCTCGGTGTGTCTACTTCTAGTTAAGTATCCCTTTTCCCATTTCTAATATTTGCTGATTATAACCTCAGACAAATGGAAAATTTTAGTTAACAGTTAACAAAAGTTGTTTACAGATAATTCTTAGTCTTAGTCAATTCTTAGCCACTGTTGTTAGGGCCAAAGCATATATTTGCCTCTTCTGCAGAATAAAATGCATGGGCTTTTGAGAGGCCTTTTCAATTTACTTACAGTTTTGAGTCTGTTCTAATGGTTGAGGTTGCTAGAAATCTTACTAAATGTATAAATGGGGTGTTTGGTTAGAAAACCTACTTAACACTGAAATGATAGTTCATTGTTGAATATAATGACCAATACTGTGAGCAAATAAATACTGGGAGCAAATAAACTTTCTTGTCTAAAAAAAGAGAGAGTGATAGGATATCTGTTAGTCTGGAGGCTTTCACTAAGTAGAAAGTGTTTTTCTGGATTTTGAGTAAACCATCATATATTCACTATCAATGTGGATTTCTAGAATGTGATTATTTTCTTAATTTCTAATGATTAATTTTTATACCAGGACGAGTTTAATCTAGAAATAAGAAGATGTTTTGGAAAGCCCTGGTAAATTTTCTTATTATTAACCGTTAATGCAACAATATGGAAAAATAAAGTAAGTACACAGACCTAGGCTATTTGAGGTAAAATCTCGAGACCATAATTTGATATTTTTCTGAGTTTTGAATTCAGATAGAACTGTCCAAAATAGCCTTAAGTTGGTAATGCATCATTTAAGGGAAATGCCAAAAGCTACTCAAACAGACTGGATCTGAAAACTGCTACAAGTGGGTGTCTATGCCTGGGAAGGTTGGGAAGACAGCCTTAGGAAGGAAATGACAGGATCTTCTTGACCCAATTTCCCCATTGTGCTATTTCCTTTTTGAACAGGAATGTTTGCCACCTGGTAATACTGAATTTGGCTATGATACTCTGTGAATAACATAGAATTCTGAAGGAATAGCCTTGATGTTCTCACAACTACATCCCTCCTTCCTTTCATAGAAAATCTCTCTAACCATGGCAGGTCAACTATCAAGGCTCCTTTTTGTATAATGAATCTTGTTGCTGCGATACTCAAGCATATCTGAACTGCTATAATGGGACGCAAGTATAAAGTACCTTAATGTTTTTATTCTTTACTATTCTGATTTTATGACCACGATTTGTTTCAACTTCCTAACCTAATCAAATAAGCAAATGAGTTCTTGGGCTTCCCATTCCTTGTTAAATGCATAACATTAGGTATGACATTTTCTAGATGATTTGATAATGACAGATAGATATCCTCAAAGGGAGAATAGGACAAAGATGTGATATGATAAAGATGCAAAAGGTTAAAAATTTTAATGGAGTAGTAAATTGTACTTTGAGAAAAGCAACAAAATTAAACTATTTCCATGAGAACTAGAATATATATGATTGGCTTCCAAATGTTTCTATTAAAAATAATGAAAAAGGGGCAGCGAGGTGGCACAGTGGATAGAGCACTGGCCCTGGATTCAGAAGGACCTGAGTTCAAATCCGGCCTCAGACACATAACACTTAATAGCAAGTCACTTTTGGGCCTAGCCAAAAAATAAAATGAAAAAAAGGTCAAGTAAACATGATGGTCTTAGATGATTTAATTTTTTTTTTTTTATCCTGGAGGTAATAAAGAATAAGACTGAAAAAGGTAGAGTAAAATACTAAACTTCTTTTAGGCCTAATTGATGGTTTTTCTGTTTTGGTAAGTAAATTGCCTAAGACATACAGGCTTTTGACTTTACTTTAGTAATTACGAATTCTCAAACAGGATTAAGGATTTTCCATATAAAATTGCTTCAATTGTTATACAAGGGAAAACAATTCTTCATGCATCCTTTTTAAGATTCTCTCCTTAGCCTATAGATAACATTATCTATACCATAACACACAGTGTTTGGGTAAAGACAGAAAGAGCTAAGTGGTATGTGAAAATTAAATTCTCTGAAACATTCAGAGAACATTCGGAACTATGGATAGCCTACTTTGCTGTTCTTCCTACAGCTCTGTTGTTTTTCAGATCATCTTCATAAGGTCTGAATAGGTTTTCCCCACATCAACTAATTACTGGAAAGCCAATGTGATTAAATTTCGCCAGGTTTTATTGAATGATACTAAATCTAATCTGTAACAGATTTTAGCAGCTTTACCTAGAAAATCCCAAAAAGTAATGAGTAAGGAAATACTCTCCATGAACCTGCCCTAGTAACAAGGATGAAAAGGCCCATTCCACATCCCATCAACAACTAACAGTCCAGTTAAAGACAAGAGGATATTGACTGAGGAATTCATATCTCTGAGTTTAAGGAGATCAAATTGAACATTTTGTTAACAGTAGTCAAGGACAGATGTCTGTGACTCAAAATTTCCAGATGAAGATGCCTCCCAGAAGCAGACAATTTCATAAAATAGACAGCTAAACCGAAGATAGGAAAAAAAATTCTGTTCTCTACATGGACATTAAGTTGCATTCTCTGTTTCTTTCTGTCCTTCTGATTATATGTTTATCGTCCATTGTCTCTTACGGTATCCTAGCCTTTTTGGAACATTTTAGAACTAGGTTGTTTCAATTGTTTTTATTCACAACATCTATTGCAGTACATCTTTTTTGTCTTTAAAAAATACTATTTGTTATACACACTGGCTCCCTGGGAGCAGGAAAGAGAAGGGTCCTGGGAAAAACTATAATGATGTAAAAAGTACATCAATAAAAACTTATTTTTAAGTTTTAATACAACAAATACTGAATTATTCTATTAGCTTGGTTATTTATTAAAAATTTGCCAAAAAGGAAATTTTTATTAATCCCATAGTATGATATAAAATATCTTGGTTAATAAAGTAGATGATATACTTAATTATATACTTATATATACTTGCAATAAGTATTTATAATATACTTCATCATTAAATCGTATTGAAAATCATTTAGCTTTCATTATTCAGAAGACACAACAGAATCCTGAAATGCTTTAAGGTCATTATTATGGCTATGCTTTCCCAAGAAAACAGAAAACATAGCTTCAAAATGAGATCCTATACTTTCAATATTTCATAACAAAAGTTAGATACTTTTTCCCCCCTTAGCAATAATTAAAGGATTTTAGAATTTTTATATTTATATTAATTTATATTTTATATATTTATTTGACCTAGCCAAGGCTTTTATGGCTAGATGCTGGAGATCTGTGCTTATCCTAGTGAGTAGCACAGTGCCTGGTACATAGTAGGTGCTAAAACTGACTGACACTCTCAATGAGCTCCATTCACGTCTTTCTCCTGGCCAGGCAACACCTTGTATGACAGACAATCTCTTTGCCAGCACAATGAACATGCACCATGATCAAATAGCTAAGATTCTACACTGTAATCAATCTGTAAAGCAAGGCTCTTTAAGGAAGCTGCCTTCCAACAGGATTTTGAAGCAAATGCTACAGCAATGAAAGAACACCGCTTTGTCATCAAAGTGTAACCTGATGACTTATCTTAATAAGGGTGACCCTGAAGCTCTTCCAGATCCTGAAGTATATTGTTAATTATCAAGATTAAATTATGTTCAATTTGACTTTGTTGTGAAGTGAATGTTAATGGTGTATAATTGTTTAAAAACTGGGAATACACGAAGATATCTGATCATTCTTAATCAAAATTTGCTAAGACCGAAAACAATGTGGCATTCTCTGATCATGGAGGATAATACAGCAATTACTATATTAGGTGTGTTAACATGAAGAAACACAAGTAGCATAAAGAGCATTACCATATATTTTTAAGTGAATATAGCTTAGGTAAAGGTTAAATAAATTTACTCACCAATAAAAGCACTCTCAGATTCCAAAAGAGAATTTTTCAGGAAATCCCTAGTTTCATTTCTAGGCTATAAAAGAAGTCATAAAGATTGACAATAAACATACCAGCGTGCCTGTTTTTATTAAATCCAGTGTTGGGCAAGACATCAAAATCACTAACCGAAAGCACAAGTTTGCCACAACATAAATGGCTTCAAGAAGAACCTACAAAAAGTGGCAGAAGAGTTGGCAAGGCATAGAAAAAGTGGTTCCAATTCATTCCCCCAACTCCTCTGCTACCACCACAAGAAGCAATATACAAAATTCAGCTACAAATAGTGGAGATCACAGTCAGCCATAATGTGCAAACACCACAACTGGCTTAGGCTGGACCTTTCTTATCATCACCAAAGCTACTTTGATCTTTTTGTCTTCAGCTTTACTGAAACAAAACCTTAAGTAAAAGTCACTTCAACTTCCTGAGCCTCAGCTGGCCAAATATGGAGGCTGTACTGAATGATCTCTTAGATCTCTTTCAGTTCTAACATTATGTAATTCAATGGGAAAAAAAAAAGATAGCCATAAGTAAAAAAAAAAAATCTTTAGTTCAAAGAACGTAATTTACCACATAAAATTGTAAATACTAAATGACAGTTAAACGACCTTTTATCATGCAAATATCTACAAAATATTTATCAAGACACCATATATACATTTTCTATATGACGATTACGATCAGTGAAAGTGCTGAATAAAGTATTTTAAAATGTTTTTCCAGCATTAGAGAGTATTTACAGGAGGAAAGGTTACATTTATTTTTAATCTTCCAAGAGAATATTCATGCACAGCCCCAAACTAGAATTCAAAGCTATAAAATTTTGCACAGAATTGCTCCCCAAAATATTATATTAAAGTGAAAAAGAAAGGGAAAAAGCTATCGGTTTCTTACCATTCTAGTATCTCGTAAGTTAATGCCAGCACTTGCATCAAGGTCAACTGCACTCAACCCAAATCAAAAACAAAATACAAAATTAAAACTACTGAAGCACAAATACAAATATATTTTGAAATAAGTTAGCATCCTTCTGGCACATGAAAATAAAAGGATGTCTTTTTTACTGAAAATCTCCTGTTAGTTATATTATGATAGATTAGAAAAGTATTTTAATGTAAGTACTTCCTCATTATTTTATCACCCACAACTCTGCTGCTGTTGCCATTAATTCCAGCAGTCAAGAAAAATGAGAGCATCGTAGCCTAAAAAGAAAGCTTTTTCCAAGAGGAAAGAAATTAATTCAAGATCCATAGGTTCCCTAAACTTTTACAGAAATTTTTACTACAATCTGACAGAGTTGTATGTAAAATAGCACAAAGAGCCTCAATTTTTCAAAAACGGATAGAAGGCACAACGATAGTGATAAATTTGTCCAACATGCAAGATTCATTCATCCAATTGTCTATGCGGTAAGTAATTATATGAAGTAGGAACTTAATTCTGGAGAGAGAAAATTGCTTAAAAGCTAAAAACGTCACATTTTCATAACACATTTCAATGGCCCTGAGGAAAAAAAAAACATCTTTTTTAAAGTGGCTCAGTGAGAAACTATCCAGAGCAAATGATTGCTAGCCACTAGCACCATGGAATTCTTCTTTTAAGTTAAATCGAGTACTATCATAATAAGGAATCTATACACACACATACACATACCACAAATTTAGGAAATAATTTAAAAGATGTATTTTGCTTTTCTATTACCTAGTGTAATTATTTTGAATTAGAAGGGTGAAATTTCCCATTTCTTTAAAATGAGATGTTTTACTCTTTTTTTTCATCAATCTATCATGCTAAGGAGGCTATCAATAATGCTACATTCTAGAAACTTGAAAAGGCTAAAAATTTAACAATAACTGAAGGACAAGAACTTTCACATACTATAGGCTAAACCTTCTCCCCCTCCAAAAAAATTAAAATGGCAATGAAACCAATACTGAAACTTAATTGATCCAGAAATTAAGGTTCAAACAGTTGACTTGGCTTCCCAGTCTTCTAAGTATAAAAGCACTGGGCACAAGGAGCTTTAGGCTTGACCTGTGATGCAATCATGTTAAATGCAGGGGCAGGGGAGTTGTGCCCACATGAATCAATGCCATATACTCACTTCCAGGCTACTGTTAAGTAAATGTCCTTTTGGTAAACGTATTAGATAGTCTACCAGCGTCTCGCTTTGTTCCAATGTCAAACTTGAACACCAAAACTGACCTGAGTCAAGGCTGGCCCAAGTCATGTTCCTGTAGATTTCAGAGGAATATAAACGATCCACTTCAGAAAAATACTATTTGTTAATGGTACCAAATACACTTGCAGATGGCTTCTTTTACTTTTTTTAAAATATAGAAGATGTATTACAGAATAATTGAGCATAAATTTCCTTCAAAAGTAGGAAAACATCACGGTAAAGATTAAAATTTTTTAAAATGTCTGAAATGACAAACTGCTTGAAGCATTTATTTCTTACCTTCTGCATCTTCTCTCATTCGAAGTCTATTCAGCCTCTTCTGCTGCTCTCTCAGCAATGCCTGCTGCTGGATCTCCAAGGTTTGATCATCTTTTGGAGACTCAGGGTACATATATCTCAAATCAACTCGTGTTTCTGAATCTGGTACAAGAAATCAAATATTTTACATGTAACTATGCTATTTCCTTGAGAATGGATTTAAAATTTCATTTTAAAATAAGCTAACATGATTTTATCTTTGGACTAGGACAGTGAGAATGACAGGGAATATCCCTATCATCTCTGACAACTTCTACTACTTTGGATAAATTCACTATGTATTCAATTTTTTCCACTCTTCTGTTTAAGTTTTTAAATTCTGCACTGATAATTTTGATTTCCAATCTAAAACCATTTCTAATTCCTTAAATAAATGTCTTCTGTGAACCATTCTGGAAGTTTCCTGCTATTGTGTCACAGGTTCAGGGTAATTTACAGACATCTCTCTTTCTTCAGATAATATAATATAGATTAATCTTCCTTCATGTGATAACACTGGTTCAGAGAACTTTTTTTCTCTTTGAGATTTTATTCATTCTTCCTTCTGTTTTTATTCTCCTCTCTGTTGGTTTATCTGCTTTTGAGTCAAGTTGTTATTTGGGTTTTCTCTCTTGATCTTTCGGTCTTTCAGTTTTTCTCCTGTCTTCCCAATCATTCACTTTTGGGCCTCGTCACTGTTTGGCCCTTCCCATCCTCAGACCCCTGAGGCTGAGTTAGTAGGTAACCTCAGTCTCTTTGTATTAAGAGATATGACGGTTGGTCAGGCCTGGGTCCCTGCTCCTTTGTAACCTCCAACAGGAAGAGGATTGACTCTAGATGAGTTTCTGGTTCCCTTTCCCTGAGACCCATGATTCTTCTCCTCTAGCCTATGGCTCTGAATGGAGGGTTGGGAGGGGGAGGGACAGGAATACCTTCTATCCCACCCTAGTTTTGCAGTGCCTCCCCACATCCCCACACTAACTCTTGTCACTATTTTACTTTATATGACTGAATAGAATTGGTATCTGTGAATCAAGAGAACACTCTGGACAAGTCACTGCAACAAGGGATCCTTGCAGCCCAAACCCAAGTCACAAGCCTGAGAGTCTTCTTTGGGTTCAGGGAGCTGGTTATAGGACCATGATTTCATAAGGAGCTTCATGTAACTTGCAAAAAAGCAGAGGCTTTTATTTTCTATTTTTAGAGGACATTAGATAAGAATTTTTTCAAGTTGTTGGTATTAAATATATGGAATTTTAACCTTGTGTGGAGATTCTAATTTATCATGTGGATTCAGCTTTAGTTACATTTTATCTCAATCATAATTCCTTTCTTCTGAGGTTTTCGGATTGGAGAACTTGGCAGAAAACAACTAGTCTGTCATCCTGTTGATCAGCCAGCTCTTTTTCAAAGTTCTTGAACATGAGTAGACAATGTCCATGTATCTATTTAAAGAAAAGGATGTCTACTTACCTGTGTCTTTAAGAAAATTAAAGTCACGAATATTCTGAGCAGTAGGATCTAGACCTTTGGAAGAAGGTCTTCTGACTGGAGCTTGCACCCGAAACCTGGCCATATCAAATATATCCATGGGATACTTCTCCCTCTTCCTATGGATAGGTAAGATATAATAGTAAACATAATCCAACAAAAGCAAATATCATTCAATGTTTAAATTCCTATACTACAAGCCTCAATTTTCACACTGACTGGCAGTATGATCTTGAAAAATATGTTTAAAGTCATTCATACCATTTCTTTGTATTAAAAATTATATTAAGTAATGCTATGATATGTGATACATCTACTTGTAGGATATTTTGAACCTCAGTGAGGAGATGGTTGTAATTTTTTTAAGATGCTTTAAGAAAAGGTGTCTTACATAGAATTCATATTATAAAATGGATTATTATATAGATGAAGTCATATCATAGTCAATCATGCCTCCCTCAAACATAAGATATATGTAGATATATGTGTATAGATGTAGATATATAAATATATATAGTAGTTTAATATTAAATGGTTAGCCCATAACATAAGTATTATTCCTATCCTTTAATATTCATGTTGTACATTTTATATATATAGTTCCACTATATAATGCAAACACAGAAATTAATAGCCACGTACCCAAGACATTTATGCAATTACATGTATAGAGAAGGGCCAATGACTGGGTGACTTGTATTTCCTAAAAGGGTGGGACAGTCATCCTTCATTCCTTGAAAATAGAGGAATATTCATGTCATATTTCCCTTATCTCTTAATCTTTAACTTTAACTTTTACCAGGTACTCTGCAGCAGCCTGTCCTGGCCTGAATCACCACATTGTGTAAGAAAGCAATACCTATAACTAGTTACAATTTAAAAGAGACACAGAAAACATTATGTTGATTATTATTAATCTCATTTGGCTTTCCGTACTGGAGCACAGGTCAGTGATTTAATGGATTGAGTCACACATTCTGGACTTTTTCCAGAAGCATTTGAAAGGCTGGAAATCAAATGCTACCATTACAGGATTACATAAAGACAGAATGGTATATGATGCAACTGAATCAAAATTTCATTTATTTGGCCAGCTCCTTGTAAAATAAAATAACTAAATATTTCAGTGATTCATTTTGATATTTTTCTCTTAGATTCATTTTCCAAAATAAGAAAATCCTAGATTTATAAAAATGACACTTCTGTTACAGAAAAACTGCCAAATGCTTAATGAAAAAAAACTAAAGATGCGTATTTGGGAAACAAAAAGCCTATACATATATAAATGTATATATAAATCTTCAAAAGGCATTCAGTTCTTCATTATTCATGTCATTTATGCACTTTGTGGATTTTAAATGGAAAATATTTAAATCCCTTTCACCTAGAACATCCATAGATAATCTGTCCTGTTAAGCTTGCCCATTCCTTAGCCAGTGATTCGAGAATGAAAACTGATACAAATCTAAGCAAGATATATTCAGAAAGATAAATCTGTAACACATTCCAAAGGGAAACAAATTATTTTAAATTATAGGGTTATAATCTTTGTTACTAATGATTCCCATTAGTGGAGTGTCAACTCAATTTAATTTCACCATCTACCTGTACAAACATGCACACAAACTACCTACATTTCAACAAAAGTGACTATCAAAATATATCAATCTCAAGTAAATCACACAGTACCTTTGCATCCTCTCTTAGCTGACTAATGGGAATCCACAGAAGAGTCCGAGACATGATCAAAGGATACAGAGAACAACTTGGAAAGCCTGTCCCAAAGTCTTACCTGGTGCTTCTTTCATCATCACCATCCACCTGTAGCAATTTTCCTTGAAGACGCCGCTCTTCACTTCGAAGCTGTTTCCTCATTTCTGATAATTCATTAATTACATTTTTTTTCTCCTCTGCAATTTTCCATGGATAAGTGAAAAGTAAAGTAAGTTAATTAGGACAAAATGCTTAATCTACTTCAGAAAATAAAAATCTAGTTTGACCAACTAAAATTTTAGTCAATGATAGACTATTTCTAATGCTAGATCTCTATATATATATATCAAACATAAGAGCAACACGTGATATCACCAATATGCTTTTCAGGACATATATATGACAACTTCATACATCAAGAAACTAAAATCTTAAAGGAAAGGTGAGTTAATTTGTGAAGTTTAGGAACAAATTTAACTAGTAGAAGAATAAACACTACTCCTAAAAGGAAATAGGCAATTAACACCTACCATCTGCACGAAGCTGGTTTTTCCTAGCAGGTACTGGAGGAGACTGCACTCTGGACCGTGGGCGATCCTATATAACACAGACAAATCAATAATATATGTAATACCTGCCTTGCATTTTTTTGTCCTTCATTAATATTTCCCCAGTATTTGTCCACCTAACCAAACATAATTAAGTATAACTACATGTCAGCCTGTTTTTTTTCTGTATAAAAATGGAGATTGCCTTCTGTATTTGCCACCTAAGTCCATTCTTATCCTGTCGCTACAGTTACTCTCAAATAGCCATGAGGCAGTGGAGTATTTTCCCCAAGCCTATAGTTTATGCAGTTGTTAATGAGAAAAAAAAAAAAAACATCATGGGGATATTACTGCTCAGGGCAGGAACCCAAACAGTCTGCTATCAGCTGCATTTCTGAACAGGGCAGGAAGAAGACTGGATACTGAACTGTATGATCAATGAGTACAAGGATTGTGTGTCTTATTTATTTTGCAGTCTCCCCCAGTACCAAGCACAGTTCACTGCATGCAAAAGCCTGTTAAAGTCTGTTGCATGAAAGAATGAAATGAGAGAACATCTGCATGTCAGCAACCTTACAAGCCTACAGAGGCTGAGTAGTGCACGTCAACCCCAACTTGGTCTTAAAAAGTTGACTTATGTGAAACAACGTATGTAGTAATTAGGGGTGGAAACATGTCAATTTCTAAGTTTGCTAAGCACTTGGCACAGGTTTTAATGTGTTTTTAAAAAAAAACTTTTAATAACTGATGATACATATAGAAAAACAAAATCATTTTTAGTTTTTGAGAAAAAGTATATGAGAGCTTTATCACTGACACAAAAGAAATAGTGACTACACAGATTACTTCCTCCACCTTAATCTCCTTTAAAGAATTCAACAGTTTGAAGAAGCTGGAGACCTGGATTGAAATAAATAAAGGAAATAGATATAGGCACTGTAATCACTGGCCTAAAACGATATGGATTATCATAAGCTAAGAACTATTGAAATAGCTCTAGCTAGAGTCAAATGCTCAAACAAAGGGGGAGAAAAGGTTTTTCTCCTAAGCATAAATGAAAGGGAGGGAAACAATGCTCCACTGCAAAATCTTGAGTTAATATTTTAAATTTATGCCATCATGCACCATGGTTTACAATCAATCCTGGTAATAAATTAACATATCCACTAGTAATACTTAGAGGCCTGAAAATTTAACTCGGCAGTTTCATAATTACCCCATTCCAAAAAGTGATCATTTCTAAAACAATTACCGATTTATAGGGTAACAATAAAACATACATGAATCACGGTAGATGCAACTGAAGGAGGTCTATGGACTTTGCCTTTGATTCTGTTCTGAACAGCAGGAACTGCAGGAGAAGGTGATCTGGATTTCTGGAGATAAGCACAAATGTTAAACTGTTAACAAATGCTTTTAAAAAGTGAAATTTCTTAACAAAATGCTTTTCATCGAATAGGTAAATAACATACTAAGTAGGAAGAAAAGGACAAAAATGAATCAAGTACATACAACACAGAACATAAAAATTATATTAGTATAAATTTAAAAAGCAAATGCCACATTCAAAGATGGAATATTCTTTGGAACAAACAAGGTAAGCTTTATATCAAACTGAAGTATGTAAAATAGGAAAAAAATGGCATGATAATTTAACTTAACATATACTATATTAGCTTTATATACTGTAACTCAAAAAGTTCATGATTATTCTATAATTACTGAATTCAAAAAATGTAAGAATTTGACTAATACAAAAGCTAAATAGCAACTGTTTCTCAACAACATTAATATTTGTTTTAGCCTTAAATTTTTTTCTAGCTAGTTAACAGTAAATTACTTACAAATGGAACATTCTTTTCTCACATCTTATTATTTGCACTATACTTTTGCCTCCATCTTCTACCTGTTTTGTGTATTCAGATCATTTGGTTATTGGAGACAAAAAGCCTGAATAAATCATCGTTACTTAACAGCATATTTTATTTGGAATTTGTAATAAATCTCCAACCATTCCTATGCCTGTTGCACAGCAGGGTATGGAAATGACTCTGGGTTCTTTAAAGCTGTATCTCTCTGTTCAGAAGACCAACCTAGCTAAATTTAGAAAAGTTCATCGCTAGAAAATTTACCAATGGGTGATTAATTTTTTCAATGACAGCAACTCTTAAGAACTATCTACACTTAAGTATGCTGAGGATGGAAACCCATATCAGTGGAGAGCTACCCACATCAATGAAATCACAAATCCTTATCTCGTATTTCAACTCCCCATTAGACATTCTATTCTGTCCTTTTCAGTACAAAGAATCAATCATCTTCCTTAGTAGTGAAAACAGAAGCAAAATAAAGAGCTCAGAAGCCCAGCCTTCTTTACATCATCCATATCATCCCATCCCATTTTATTTTGCTTAGCACTCTTTGCCAGCCTTGGCTCACCCCAAGTTTTATCAATCCTGACACTGTTCTTATGGCACTACAACAAAATACATCCTCCATCATCAGCTCCGGCTTCCATCTTTTATAAAATCTCTTTAAAATTTAAGTTGGTTCATAAGTCCCTTGTACAGGAATGTTGGTTCCTCTAGAAATGTCCCCCTTCTCATCAAGAACTGCTTATGCTTCTATCATCAGAATTTCATTCTTGTGAGAATCTCCCATCTCTTCTGGGCTACTTTCCCTGTAGAAATTGTCCATGGGATCTTACCTATCCCTTTGAAATTACTATAATAAAATTTAACATTCATCTATCATTTCTACTTTGACTCTCTGTTCCTCCATATTGGTCCACCTTTTGAATGCTGAAATGTTCATTTAGGCAAACCAAGCACTTATTTATTATTACTACTTTGCTTTTGATGTAAAGAGAGGTTGATATTCAGGCAACTGAATTCCCCATGGCTACTATAATACACCTCCATGCTATGCTTATGATATATCCCAAATTCATCTATTTCCCTTATCCTTAGGTGATCTGCATGGAGTATACTTGCCTGGATGACTGTAATAGCCTCCCAATTGGTCTCTGCCTCAATTCTCATTCCAATTCATCTTTCATATAGCTGACAAAGGAATATTCCTGAAATTCAGGTCTGACCATGTCAATCCCTTCCTCAGTAAGCTCCAGGAATTCCTGATTGCCTCTAGTATCAAAAAGAAACTCCTCTGGGGACAGCTAGGTAGCACACAGTGGATAGAACATAGGCCCTGGAGTCAGGAGGACCCGAGTTCAAATCCAACCTCAGTCACTTGACACTTACTAGATGTGTGACCCTGGAAAAGTCACTTAATCCCATTGCCTAGCAAAAACAAAAGAAACAAAAAGAAACTCCTCTGTTTGGCATTTGAAGCTCTTCACAACTCAGTTTCAACCTATTTTTCCAGTCCAACCTTGCTCCCCCACTTCAGTCACTCTATGGACCAACTAAACTAATCTTGCTATTAGTGAAGGAGGACATTAGAACTACCTATCTCTGTGCCTTTACATAGACTATTTCCTCCCATTCTGGGAATGCCCTCCCTCCTTACATCTGCCTCTCAGAATCTCTAGTTTCCTTCAAAGCCTAGCTCAAGGGTCACTTTCTAACAAAAGGCCTTTCTTGATGTCCTCCACTGCTAATGCTTTCCCCCTGAAATTATGTTTATTTTGTATGTACTTATCAGCGTAAGTGTTGTTTTCCCCCAACAGAACAGAAAGTCTTGAATAGCAGGTTGTTTTTCAGTCATCTAGTTGTATCTGACTCTTCATGACCCTGTAGGGGTTTCCTTGGCAAAGATACTGGAATGATTTGTCATTTCCTTCTCCAGTGGATTAAGGCAAACAGAAATTAAGTGACTTGCCCAGGGTCACACAGCTAGTGAGAATCTGAGGTCAGATTTGAACTCAGGTCTTTCCTGACTCCAGGCCCAACTAAGACACCTAAGTGGTTCCAAGGCAAACACAGGGTGTGATTTACCTAAGGTCTCACAGCTAGAAAATGTCTGTAAATGGATTTGAACTTAGGTCTTCCTGACTGAAGGTCCAGTGCTCTGAGTGATCTAGTTGCCTCTATACATAGAAGGACTGTTACATTTTTCTCGTGTCTTTGTAAACCAGCAAGTAGCCCAGTGTCAGGGACATAGACGATGCTTAATAAACTTTTATTAATTATTAACCACAGGACTCTTATAGTTTTCATTTCCATCTCTGTAAACTCAGTAAGTAGCCCATTGTCAGGGATGTAGAAGATGCTTAATGTTTTGTTGACTGATTAACTTCATTAGAAACTCTATTCACTTTGAAAAACTTAATCTTATCTCAATTTAATCAGTAGTCATTTATTCTTGAGGATTTAAATTAATGTAAAGAGTTAGAAGTGATCAGTTAATCAGATGATCTTGTAGATTCTTCAAGTTCTCCTTTAAATTATATGGATTGTCTCTAGTTTATTTTTTAAATAATTCTAATGATACATACATTATGTATTCACTAACATTTACATTCCTATGTTCGATAAACAAAAGTTGTTCCTCTAGGAGACAAGGATGGTACAAACCTCATATTCAACATTCAAATCAAATACTAAGTTAAATAAAAATAAAACAGGTAGCTTCAAAAAGGAAAAAAAAGAACTCTAGCTAAACAGGCGCTAAGAAATACTTGCTGAAGGAATAGTTTACCTAACAGATCTATGGAGAACAGAAGAATTCATGACCAAACAGGAGATAGAGAACATTACAAAAAACAAAATGGGTAACTTTGATTACATTAAATTGAAAAGTTTTTGCACAAACAAAGCCAACGCAACTAAGATTAGAAGAATGGTAGAAAATTGAGAAAGAATTTTTACAACCAGTCTCTCTAAGAATTAGGTCAAATTTATAATACAAGTCATTCCCCAATTGATAAATGGTCAAAGGATATGAACAGGCAGTTCTCAGATGAAGAAATTAAAGCCATCTATAGTCATATGAAAAAATAATTTAAATCTCTATTGATTAGAGAAATGCAAATCGGGCAGCTAGGTGGTGAAGTGGATAGAGTACCAGCCCTGGAGTCAGAAGGACCCTGAGTTCAAATCCGGCCTCAGACCAAACACCTGATAGCTGTGTGACCCTGGGCAAGTCACTTAACCCCAATTGCCTTAAAAAAAATTTTTTTTTCTGGGAAAAAAAAAATTTCTTCTGAGAAATGCAAATCAAAACAACCCTGAGGTATCACATCACCCCTATCAGATTGACCAAGATGACAAAACAAGAAAATGATAAATGTTGGAGAAGATGTGGGAAAATTGGAACACTAATGCATTGTTGGTGGAGTTGTAAAATGATCCAACCATTTCGGAAAATAATTTGGAACTACGCCCAAAGGGCTATCAAAATGTGCATACCCTTTGACCCAGCAATAGCATTTCTAGGGCTATATCCCAAAGATATCATACAAATGGGAAAAAGACCCACATGTACAAAAATATTTATAGCAGCTCTTATTGTGGTGGCAAAGAACTGGAAATTGAGAGGATGCCCATCAATTGGGGAATGGCTAAGCAAGTTGTGGTATATGAATGTAATGGAATACTATTGTGCTATAAGAAATGATGAACAGGCTGACTTCAGAAAAACCTGGAAAGACTTGTATGGTCTGATGCTGAGTGAAGTGAGCAGAACCAAGAGAACATTGTACACAATAACAGCCACGTTGTGTGATGACTAATATTGATAAACTTAACCCTTCAAAGCAATACCAGGATCTAAGACATCTCCAAAGGCCTCGTGATGGAAAATGCTATCCACATCCAAAGAAAAAACTATGGAACGTGAACGCAGATTGAAGCATACTATTTGCTATTTTTTTTTCTTCTGTTGAGTTTTCTTTCCTCTTTCTGGTGGTTCCTCCTATTGGTTCTAATTCTTACTTACAACATCACTAATGTGAAAATATGTTTAATAGGAATGTATATGTATAGCCTACATCAGATTGTGCACCATCTTGGGGAGGGTGTTGGGGAGGAAGGGGGAGAAAAATTTTAAACTCAAAAGCATATGGAAGTGATTGTTGATAAATCAAAATAAATTAATAAAAAAAATTAAAAAGAAAAAAGAAATCTTGCTGATTAATTTGCTACAATTGTCAGATATAACTAAAATATGGAAGAAAATCTTACGGCCTGTGCATCAAGTCACTAGAGGAGAGTCTGAGCTAGTTAAGAGTGTGGCACTACAAGTCTTACTTACACAACAGATGCCCTTCTTAATCAATGAACAAACATTCATTAAGTATTTGCAAAGATCACTATATTAGGCACTGGAGAAATATAAAGAATATATAAATATAAGGTATCCCTGTTCTCATGGTGTTGATAGTCTAGGAAAAAACTTCTGAAAATCTGATATGAATCAAAGTTGTGGAAATCAAATAATATTCTAGACACATTGAGGGGCCTTGTTTGTGAACAAAACCATGTTGTGAATCCATTTTAGTTTATAATCACACATAATATATTTTTAATATAAATTCAAATTTCACGTTTTCTTAAATAAGCTACAATTAGAATGTGATATATATATACATATATACATATATATTTATATCACAATATATCTTGTTTACATATAAACAAGAATGTGAGGGAAAATAGCTTTCTAGAAAGAAAGTTCTACAGCCATAGGTCAATTGTCTCAAACCAGCTATCTCTGCAGCTGGTGCCCTTGGTCACAAAGGGAAACAAGCAAAATGACTTAGCATAACCTCTGGTGGAAGTAATAACAAACATATCACGACCTCAACACACATACTGGTAATGGGTCTACAGCATCATCTTCATGTAGATGTTACAGCACAAAGCATATTTCCCCTGATGCTAGTCCAACAGTCTCTTACTGTAGTAATTTCTTTGAAATTTTAGTTTCAAACATACCCTTGTGGTCTGTTCTTCAACTGTTTTTTTTCGCTCATAATAGTGTTGAAGTTGTAAATCATGTTTTTTTTCCTCTTCTTTCTTCTTCCTTTCTGCCTCTTTTCGTCTTTCTTCAGCTAACCGTATCAACTCTTCATTTTTTAGTCTTTGCTGTAAAGATATTTTTAAGGGCATCAAAATAAAATAAAGCTTAAGAATCATTATTAATAGAAAAATTCACACACAAAGGCACACAGCCCCTTATGTATTTTAACTGCCTGAAAAGGATCAAACTGAAAGCTTATATTCTCTTTAAAAAAAAAAATTCAAGTCCTCTGTCATTCATTAAAATTTTTATATTATCTTTAATATTAAAAACTGTCACAGATCAACAAAAAATAACTTTGGTTTTTAAAAATTTATTATTTTTTCCAATTTAAAATCACAATTTTCACGTTAATAAATGTGTTTATGACACTAGATTATATATGTTTAAGTAAGTAAATATTAATTCAAGGTTTTCTAAAAGATTAAAATAAGCTCCAAAATGATTTTTGCAATGGCATACATCAAGTTCTGAACTCATTTTTTTTCAGGTAAAAGCTAATAAAGAATTAAACACTTCTAATCTCATAAAATTTTAAGCACTACGATAAAAAAAGAGTTGATTAAAATTGGTGCACCTCCTCCTCTTTCTCCCTTTTCTTTTCTTGTTCCTCTTCATATTCTTGTTGAATTCTGGCCCTCTGTTCTGCTAGACGTTTTTCTTCTTTCTCTTCTTCACGTCTCTGCCTCTCTCGCTCTGCTTCCTCCCTTTGTTTTTTTTCTTCAATCTAGAAAACAAATCCAGATATGAATTTTTACATCTACTGACTAATTAGAATACTACATTCTCTATCATTCCATAAGCTACACAATCTATTCATAACCATGGTCATTATCTTTTGTTGAGTCTATAAATTCACTGGGCTAATTTACATGCCCCCTAGGTAAAATACAAAATAAAACAAGAAATCCGTACTATTTTTGCATTGACAATTCTTTCAGGCGAGTGCCATATTTTAAACTTCTTCACTTCTGCAAACATGCATCCATGACTTTCAGTGCTGAGATATCCACTATGTTGTTGTGGTTCTTGTTGTTATGTTAAACAACTTAACCTTCTCAGAAAATTTTTGTTATGCACCATAATCACTATCCTGGGTGTGCCCCGGAACTGTCCCTGGGTATTGTCCTCATCAGTTCCTATGGTTAGAGCTATCACTCCCACGCAATTCCAGATCTGCACTGCCAATTGCCTGGTAGGCATTTCCACCTATATGTCCAACAGGCACCTCAAACTCAACAATCTCTCTTTCTAAGCTCCCTATTTCTGTTCAGGATGCCTTCTAGTCACCTTCTAGTTCATCTTCTAGTCACCCAGCTTAGTTCTCAACTATGGAGCCAGAGCAGTTCTTACCCAATCAGTTTTCAAGTTGTAGATGCATCTCCTCTCACATTTAGCCCTTTCTCTCTTCACTGACAGCACAGCCATCCTAGTTCTAGCCTCTCATCTAGAGGACTTCAACAGTTTCCTAATTGTTTCCCCTTCCTGCAGTCTCTCTCCTCTCCAATTCACCCTCCACGTAGCCACCAAATCCTTATGCAAATGATTAGGTATGTGGAGTGTATGAGAGTGAGGACTTGAGGGTGACACCACGTGAGAACCTGGGTGACTGGGCAGTAATAGGGAAGTTAGAAAGCAGGATGTGTTTAGAGAGAAATATACCAAGTTCTGTTCTGGACATGTTGAGTTTTGAGGTACCTATAAAACATCAAAGTGGAGATGTCAAGCAGACACAGAACTCAGGAGGGAGATGCAGGAGAGATACGGAGAGATCAAAGGGCAGCTACCGCTGAAGAAAGGTGGTGGAAATTTATCTGGGCTTAGAAGAAAGTATATGAGTTAGACACGTGAAAAGGAGAAAAGAAGGAGACAAAACAATCTGAGCAAAAGCACATGTGTGAGAATGTACAAGTATGTTTTTGCTGTTCATTCATTTAGTTGTGTCCAAGTCTTCATGACTCCATATGGGTTTTCTTGTCAAAGACACTGCAGTGGTGTACAATTTCCTTCTCCAGCGGATTAAGACAAACAGGGGTTAAATGACTTGCCTAGGGTCACAGAGCTAATGGGTATCTGGGGCCAGATTTGAACTCAAGTTTTCCTGACTCTAGGCATAGCACTCTACCCACTAGGCCATCTAGTTGCCTCCAATGGTTCTGTTTAGGAGGAGCTAAATGGAAGTTTGATGCAGACAGTTCAAAATAGAGAGCAGTTAGGAGACAAGAATGGAGAGGTAGGTTGCGGTCAGATTATGGAGAGTCTCAAATGATAGGCTACAGAGTTTCAACTTCCACCCCCCAAATCTATCCCCTCTTCTGGGCTTCCCTATTACTGTCCAGGGTACTAATATCCTTCCAATCACTCAGACTCTCAGCTTTAGCACCATCTTCAACTCTACAACTCAAACCTCAGCTCCTCAACTCAAACCACATATCCAATCAGTTGCCAAATCTTGTCCTTTTTATCTTCATAACATGTATTGGATATGGCTCCTTCCCACCATTTACAGTCTATTTTAGGCCCTCATCACTTCTTTCCTGACATACTGAAATAACTTCGTATTTGGTCTCTCAACCTCATGTCTCCCACTCTAATCTATTTTTGATAGAGGCACCAAAGTTATTTTCCTAAAGCACAAATCTTATCCCCCAACTCCCATTCAATAAATTCTACCATCTCCCTATCACCACAGAGAGCAAATATAAACTCCAAGATTTGACATGTAAATCTGATCCATTCCTATCTTTCAGGCATACTTACACATCCTTCCTGTCTACAATCTACAGTCTTGCCATACTGGCCTACTTCTTCATTACACAAAACATTCCTTCTCCCATCTTCATGCCTTTTACTGGCTGCCCCAGATGCAGGGACTTCTACTTTGCCACCTTTTCCTCAAATCAATCCTTTGTTTCATTTAAGACTTATCTTAAGTGCCACCTCCCAGGAGAAGTCTTTCCTGTGCCCCAGCTACCAGTGCTTCCTCTGAAAGTAACAGTGTCTTTGATTTATGTCCTAACTGTATCTCTAAACGTACATACATATTCCTTCTACCATTAAAAAGTAAGCTCCTTGAGGACAAGGACTGCTCTGTTTTTCTCTCTGTATCCATAATGCTCAGCAAAATATCTGGTACATAGTAGTTACTTAATAAATATTTGTTGATTGACTGATTAATTATCAATAAGGAAGCCTAGATCTCTTTTTTTTAATCAAGAGAGTGACATGTTGTTTAAGAGAGAGTTAGAAGATTAAAAAGAGTCTAGGATAATTGGATTAGGAGTAGAAAGGGATGGATGTGAGATATGTGCAACAATAGTAAAGGTTAGATTCAAAATAAAGTATAGAACTTAAAAATGAATTATGCTATTAGAGATAATTTCTAAGTTGGCCATTTTTAATTCACAATAATTTTTAGAGATGATATTATAAGTGGTGACTAGGTTTCCAAGTTAGTCCATAAAAATCTTTCCAATTCATAAAATAGCTGAAATACCCTATCTCAAATGGAGAAACAGAAAAAAATACTATGCTACAAATTGAATTTTTTAAAAAATTACTAAAACTGAATAACTATGTTATTCAAATATTCTTTATTTATCTTGAATGTTAATGATTAAGGAAAAATAGGAAGTTCGTGTGGGAAGGTGACAGGATAAGGGATATGAAACAAAATGGACCAAAGATGGAAAGAGATTTCCTTAAGTTAATTGAGCTGGAGGTAGAAAGGAAAAAATGAAGAAAAAGGGGGTTAATGAGGATAAGACTATACATTTAAGTAAGAAAGACTTTGCAATCTGAAATTAACTGAAGTTTAAACAAAGAAATGGAAATGGTGAGGAATACATGATGTAATCGGCGTTTACCTACTCCAGAATCCAGGTATTACTTTGGCCTCAATCAAGCATATGTAGGCTGTTTGGGCTGGAGATGAGGTAGGATGTGACACAGTTAGAAAAGTTGAATAAGGGGAGCTTCTTATCATTATGACTAATCATTTAGATATACTGGATAGTAATAGGTTGGGTGTTGATATCTCAGTGGTGTCTACATATATGTGTGCGTATTTATAGACACGTGTATGTATATATGTGTATGGATACATACATATTCAGAATATAAAAACATACCAATTTCCCTATTTTAAATTCCATTGTTAATATTAATCATCTGAAATAGAAAACAAATCTGAGGCACAGACTTCCAAATATAACTATTTAATAGTAACAGTCAATAGGTTGCCATTAAGTCAGGTTACCTACTTCCTCAGTAATTACTGAAAAAGGAGTGATGTACAGAGCATTTTTGTAAGAGAAAAGAGGAATTAAAAATCACAGCAATCTTAGGAAACTTGTTTTGAATATAATTCAACTGGACAAGCCAGGTCTTTCTGACTACACATGGTGAGAATTCTGCATCTATACATTGTTCAGATTAAGAAAATTACCTAATCTACAGTTTGTTATAAGGTAATAGTTGAATTGAGAACATCAGAGCATATGGCCTATTAAATTGCTATAGTGACAAACATACAAATGTGATTTGCTTTTACAATGTGAAAATGTTCATTTTCCTATATACCTTTTATATATAATCAATAAATTGCTATGTATATGCAATGCTTACAAACTATACCACATATAATGTTATTTTATATGCATCATATGAATTCTGATTATTATTTTATTACCCCATAAAATGTGATATTTCATATAGACCTTACAATATAAATTATTTGACATTAAATATCTGAATCAACATTTTAGAACTTAAAATATATTTAATAGGCAAAACTCTCTTTTTATATTTAGCAACATTTATTACATATTTAGCAGAACATGTATATCTAATAAAATTTTTATGATAAAATAGTATACTTCACCTGAAAACGAAGATAATTCTTGTAAGCTTCTTGCTGTTTAATCTGAAGCTCAGTTAGCGGCTCACCAAAAATGTTTCCCCGGGCAAAAGGAGAGCTCTGTGTACCTATTTGACCTTGAAAAAGATATTTTACAAAATTTAAAATCAGCATCTGCTCAAATAAAAACTTATTTTAAAAACAACGGTAAAAGGAAGAAGATTTTCTAAATTTGTCTTTTGGGAAAATATACTAAACTTGTCATTCCAGCAGAGAAGACGTAGGAGTGAGAGAGTAGAATTCAAACAAACCCAGACCAAAATGATAAAATAGATGAAACGGTAAAGCCACAGTGAAATGAAAACAAAGCTAACAGCCAAAACAAAAAACACACCTACATAAAAAAGATCCGAAACAAAAGGTGAAAGAAAAATACTGTTAGACAAATTTATCACTGTAGAAAAGGCTTTTGAAAAGATATTTTATGTATATATTCATTTGGATTCTGATGTATATGAATTTCCTTTATTTAGGAGGTGACATTTAACACTCTGAGAATCTCTTATGTAATATATGTATATAAACACATATGTAGCATTTAAAATTAGTAATTTTGTTAATGTACTCAACCTAAAAGATAAATTCTATCAATGACATGTTGGATTATTCCTTTTACTATATCTCTATAGCTACAGATTTTCTGTTGAAATTAAAAAGTATTCCTCTAAATTCAGGTAAAGAATGAAAAATAAAAAAAGTTTGCTTATAAAAGATTTCAAGTATGAACAATATCACATCTAATTTGGAACATTAAGAAATTTCACAGGTAATTAAAAAACAGTGCCATTAAGCCTTTCCAAAGGCTATGTCCCCAAAATGTATTTTTTAATCTACATTTAAATCTCTGTTCAGTCTTAGGAGTTATATTCCAATATCTAAATTTCTCTTAATCATTTGGTTTAGAACATGTTAATTACTTTGTCATTGAGTTGACTATCATGACTAGCTTATTTTGTTTACTTGTCTATATGTTTGAAATTAACTACAGGCAAAGGTTAAATTTTTTTTAAAAATACTTTAAAAGTAAATAACAGAAAATAAAAGAATTAGCATAAGAAAAAAATGATAAAATTGTCAATCACTTTTCTGATGGGACTTTTTTTTTTCATTAAAAACACTGAATTTCCATCATGAAGTTCCTCTTCAGCATTACTCTAATAAAATTGAGAGTATGTTAATTAAGCTGACAAAACAACATTAAGTACAGTGTCTACCACACTGGAGGAAAGGATTAGAATTCAAATGAAGTGGACAGGATGAGAAAATAGGCAGATACAACTAGAAGGAAATTTACAAAAGAAGGGTGGCATAAGTTACTTAGAGCAAAAAAAAAAAAAAAAATACAACATGAGGAAGGTTTAATGCTGCTTAAAAATGAGACAGAAAAAAGTCAACAAGTAAAAAGCAGGTCCCAAAATAAATATTAGCCAACAGGAGAATGGATCCAAAAATAAGAACACACAGCAACTAAGAAGCAAGCTCCCTTCCAGCCTCTGTTGGGATTAATTTAATGGTTTAATTATGCTTAATCAGAGACTCCACAAATTAAGTAAAATATAGAATATTAAGAGGAAAACAACAAAAAATTAAATTTTAGGAAATAGGCCCAAATGAAGATTAAAAACCAGGGAAAACCAGGCTATTTTATAATTTGTAAAATTCCTTTTGGAATTCTGAGTTCCCTATGTTCTCCAAAAGTGAGATAACAAAGCTTATACTTTAGCATAAACTGGGTGATGTTCACCACTGACATGGTATTTTAAAATTAGCCTTCCTTTAATGAACGAAATCTGTGCATGAAGTTTTTTTTAATCATACAAAACACTTTAACTGCACTAATGTATTAAATACCTTTTATCTAAAAAGTGAAAAAAAAATTATATCTTCCAGTAGAAGGGTTTACATATAATAAGTATTCAATAAATTTTATGGAATTTGTGTTTTAATGTTTAATCAAAACAAAGAGAGGAGACAGAGATTTAACATTAATCTCTAAGTATAGGTATAAGGCATAGATAGCATAAGAATAAAAGTAGCTATACAATAAAAATCTGTTTCATGAACAGCAGAATTAGTAGTAATAGACAAAATACAGCAGGAAATAATGGTGGCATATCAAGAATAACTTCATACTCTCACAGTTATTTAGCACCTTGCAATCTGTTTTGAACACAGAAAAAACTAAATAAATGTTGACAGACTAATATACAAAGAAAGGAATCTTTAGGATTCTTTCTTGTTTGTCAGAAAATCCGAGTTTCCTAAACTCTCTATAACTAACAGCTAAAGCTAGAAAAAGAAGAAAATAAAAATCGTTTTTCACAAGTGTTTCAAAACAAAAGACTAAGCAAAATCATCTCTTTCCAGGTCTCTTTTAAATGAAGGTTTCTTTAGGATTTCTTTCTTCTATTACCTTTACTATATTAACAATAACAGCATGTATCATTTGCATAAGGTCTGCAAAGTACTTTATATAAGTTATCTCATTTTATCCTCACAAAAATCCCAGTTTATTATCCCTATTTTAGATGAGGAAATTGAAGCTGAAAGAGGTCATGTGACTTGCCATGAAAGGGTCACAGAGGGCTACCAAATAAGGCAGGATTCACACTCAGGTCTCTGACTCCAAGTCCAATTCTCCCTACTGTGCCCCATGGATGCCTGAAAGGCTTCTAAACTACACTTGAAACAGTATGAAACTGAATTTTAAGTGGCAGAAGTTAAACTCAACCCTCAAAACATCAATTTATATATGTGTATGCATGTACACATACACATACATAAACAAAATTTAATTTAGTAATAATGTATTAAATGCCTACAATATAAAAGACGCCATGTTAGGCACTAAGGACACAAAGAAAAACATGAACCAGTCTCTGTCTTCAGGGAGCTTATACTTCTCCTGGAAGGATACATTCATTTAACTCTTTGTTTCAAACCTATGATTTCATTTGTATAAGAAATTCTCAGTGTAGAAATTCCTTCCTTCCGCTGATTCAGCTGAGCAACTCATGCCCTTAAGACATTGCCTGGAGAACCTAGAGTGTAAGTGATATATATGCCCATGGTCAGAGTTATTGTGTCAGAGGCAGAATCTGGGCCCAGGTTTTTCTGACTCCAGCTACTACTCCACACAGTCTCCACAAATAAATAAATATGAAGTAATAACATTACTGGAATTTGTGAGTTTGGCCCTACAGTGCCCAAAAAACAAACTCCCACCTCAAACAGTCCAAACAAAAAGAAAATCAACAAACAAAAGTGATATAAACTGAGAAGCAAGTTGGAAGATTAAGCAGCAAGCTGAAGAGTAATTCCAAACAGACAAAAAGAGACTTGTGAAGAAAAATCTGTTTTAAATAGCTTGGTCAACATGTTTTACATCACAAGAGTAAAAAGATTCTTGCTAGGACATGATACAGAACTGTCATAGTTAAGAGGAAAAGATAGGTGATACATTAGAAATGTAATAAAATCGAATGAGATTAAAAACCTGAATTTGTATTTGCAGGATCTTCTGGGTTCTCAGCATTTGCAGTGGCTAAATTTTGGTCTAGAGAGACAACAGCCCTTTTATCTTCATGTGCTCTTGCATCTGGATTATGGTAGGCATCTATATTTTGTCTGTGCATCCTATTCAAATCAGCTAAGAGGGAAAAATAAGCCTTTTATTTTTTAAAATACGTTTCCAAATTGTTATGCTTACTACATTTGTGTGTTTACAAATATATGTTTTTTTAAAATAAGCAATATTTGACCATTCTTATATTAAAATATAAAATGCTTAAATAAGAAAAAAAGAGTAATGGTAAAGAAAAAGTGATACGTTGTTGTACTGAAATTTTATTTTAATTAGCAAAACTTACAGGAAGACCTTAACTGAAATGATCCTATAATGTCAAAAAGGAAATTAGTGGAGAAATTGAGAAAATTATAGTATATATACATGAAAAATAAACCACATGGTTATTTTACATACAATTAGACATAGTTATGTTAATATTTATCTAATATGACTTCAGAATTTGGCAATTCTATTTTAAAATGATCTGTTAATATGTAACAATGCCATAAAATAAGTATAGCAATAACTTAACTGAATGTAGTTGCTGTCTATCTTATCTACTTAATTTCCCCTAACAACAAACAATAACCACAAAATAAGAATCTAAGATTTGGAAACAGGGGTCAGTTCACTTCGACAAACCATAATTAAGTGGTCACTTATGTGCAAGATACTGGGTGAGATACTTGAAGACTAAACTGTCTCTGCCCTCAAAGAGCAGGGACATACAACATGCACAAGGGACAAGAACAAGGGAAATACAACATGTACACAGATAAATAAATATCCTTTTTTTTTTCTAAAAACTTAGTATCTCAGGAGTGAAGAAAGCATATGAAAAGGGCTAACCTAGATTACGGACAGGCAAGGCAGGTAAAATAATAGTCACTGGTGGGAATGATAGGATGGATCCAAGGATAATAAACCATGGAAATAGCTGACCATGAGAGTCCAGATATGGGAGAGTGGCAATTTGGTTCATTTTCAATTCAATAAACATTTATTAAGTGACTACTAAGTTCCAGGCACTCTGATAGGCCCTGAAAATATAAACAGTCCCTAAGCTCCAGGAGTTTTGGTTCTACTAAGTGAACACAATACATACACAAATAACATACAAAATAATACATAGTAATTTCAACAGGGAGAGAGTACTACCAACTAAAGCATCACAAAAGGGCTCCTGTGAGATGTAACAACTGAGCTATGATTTGGAAGGAAGACAGATTCTAAAATGCAATAGTGAGGAAGAAGTGCATTCTACGCATCGGGATATAGCCTAAGCAAAGGAAATGAGATGGAATTTGAAAGGTAGTGTACAAAGAACATTTAGTTGTTGACAAAAAGAGGCAATACAAAAAGGCGAACAAAATGAATTAAGACAATGACAAATTACTGAATGGGAATAAAAAGGAGTATACATATTTTTCAACTTTCCATGTATTCAAGAATAAAAATTTTACCAAAAAATGCAGTAAAGCAGAAATAGTAAGCACATCTTTTATACACCACAATGAAATAAAAATTATATTGAATAAAGGGTCACTGAATAAAAGATTAAAAAGTAATGAGACACCAAATAACTTAATCCTAAAGAACATGTGTGGGATGCTACTTAAAAAAAAACTCTTAGAGGTATCTCAAGGTAGGAACAGAAAGTTTATTTCAATTTTTGAGTATCGGGTGTTCCTGCACCAGTATGATTTCTGATGAAGGAAGACAAAATACAGCAGCAAAAAGCCAGTTTATAACTCTAACGGGGAAAATTCCCCCTCCCACCAACTAACCAATATTTGGCTTACAATCTAAGCGCGAAAATCTATTCCCAGAGACAGAGAACAAAGAAACAATATACATATCCATCACCTTGGTTTGCCGCAAAAATGAACAATTTAGAATGTGTGATCAAGCTAGACACTGCTATGGGAAGGTCACCGTGACCAGAATGTAGCAACAGAATATGGGGGGTTTCAGAGTTTCAGGCTTGCCAATCTTTAACTACTAACTTAACATTGGGAGAAGGGGGAACTATAGAAATCTATACTTATCCTATTCTGCCTCATGAACTTATCTCCAAATTCAGGATAATCTTATCCCAAACTTTAATTACACTGAGAAGTCTTCATAGGGGCATCCCACTCAAACAGATGGGTCAAAGAACAAATAATAGAAAGAACAGATAATTTCACTAAAGATGACAATAAGAAATAAAATAAAATTTGGGAGATGAAGTCATAGCAGTTTTTAGGGAAAATGTTTTATCTCCAAACAGTCTCACTGATTAAAAAAAAAAGAAAAGATTAATAATTTGGGCATACAACAACAACCAAAAAAAAATTAAAAACCTTCAGTTAAATACCAAAATAGAAATCCTGAAAATCAAAGAAAAGGTTAACAAAATATAAAGGAAAAATAAATAAATTATTAAATTAGGCAAAGAGCAGCTTGAAAGATGGGGGAACCAGACCTGGGGAAACCAATAAAATGAAAAGTAATTTGATTTTTAAAAGAAAGAAGAAAACTAAATCATCAGTATCAAGTAAAAAAGGCGAATTTATAACCCCAATAAATAAAAGAAACAGAAGAATTATTTTGTCTAATTACATACCAAAAAAATTGACAATCTAAATTAAATGGACGAATATTTACAAAAATATAAAATGCCCAGAATAATAGAACAAGAAATAGAGGCATTACATAACACAATTTTAGAAGAAATAGAACAAGCTATAAATGAACTCCCAAAGGGAAAAAAAGACCAGCTGCATTTACAAATGGATTGTTAAACATTTAAAGAACAACCAATTCCACTACTACAAAATCTGTTTAAAAAAAAAAATAGGAAGAAATGATGAACAGGCTGACTTCAGAAAAACCTGGAAAGACTTGTATGGTCTGCTGCTGAGTGAAATGAGCAGAACCAGGATATATATACTGTGTTATATACAGTAACAGACACATTGTACGATGACTAATATTGATAGACTTAACCCTTCTCAGCAATACAAGGATCTAAGACATCTCCAAAGGCCTTCTGATGGAAAACACTATCCACAAAGAAGAAAGAACTATGGAGTTTGAATGCAGATCGAAGCATACTATATGCTATTTTTTTTTCTTCTGTTGTGTTTTGTTTCCTCTTTCTGGTGGTTCCTCCTATTGGTTTTAATTCTTACCTACAACATCACTAATGTGAAAATATATTTAATAGGAATATACATGTACAGCCTATGTCAGATTGCATGCCATCTTGGGGAAGGCGGTGAGGAGGGAGGGGAAGAAAAATTTAAAACTCAAAAGCTTACGGAAGTGATTGTCGATAATTCAAAATAAATTAATTAAAAATTTTTTAAAAATAGGAAAAGAAAGGGTCCTACCAAATTCATTCCATGAGAACGGTATGGTCTTACTACTCCCTAAATCAGGGAGATTCAAAACAGAGGAAAAAATAAATAAAGACCAATATCTCTAATGAATATCAATGCAAAAAATTTTAATAACAAAATTTTAGCAAGAAGATTATAGTAATACATCACAAATATTATATACAATGGCCAGGCTAGATGTTTACCAGGAAGTCACAGCTGATTCAATCTTAGGAAAACTATAAAAAATAAATTATCATATTAATAACAAGAACAACAAATATCATATGATTATATCAATAGATGCAGAAAAAAATTTTGACAACAAATAATATTGATTCCTCTTAAAAACAACTAGATAACAAGAATAAATGGACCTCCGCTTAATATTAATAGGATCTAATGGGGATAAACTAGAGGCCTTTTGAATAAGATCAACGGTGAAGTAAAGATGCTCATTATCACCATTACTATGAGATAGTGCTAGAAATGCTAGCTACAGCAATAAGACAAAAATTGAAAGCTTAGGCAAAGAGGAAACAAAATTAGTGACTTTTACAGATAATATGTTGGCTTACTGAGAGAACACATGAAAGTCAACTAAAAAATTAAATGAAACAGCAAGTTCAGCAATGCTATAGGTTAAAAAATAAACATACATAAATCATCAAAATTTCTGTATATTACCCAAAAAAAAATCCAGCAGGAAGAGCTAAAAAGATCCTGTTTAAAATAACTACAGAAAATATAAAATACTTAGGAAATTATTTGACAAGACATATATAAAAACTGTATGAATACAACAATAAAACACCCTATACAAATACAGACAAATCTAAATTACCAAAGAAAGATTAATAAATGTTCATTGCAAGGATATGGTGATATAATAAAAATTATAATATTACCTAAATTCATTTACTTATTCGGGATTATATCAATCAAAGTATCAAAGGGCTACTTTATCGAACTAGAAAAAATAAAAACAAAAGGTCAAGAATATCAAAGGAAAAATGAAAAAAAAAAAGGAAAAGAAAGGGGTTTCTGGCAGTACTAGATCTCAAACTATACCACAAAGCAATAATCATCAAAACAACTTAGTTAAGAAACAGAAAGAACACATTAGGTATGTGACATACAGAATAAGAAATAGAAAGAACACATTAGGTACATGACATACAGAAGCAAACAAGCAGAGAAGCCTAGTGTTTGATAAACCCAAGGATCCCACATCTCTGGAATCTCTCTCTACCTCACAGAATCCCTTCTCTTCTTTTAAGATGTAATTCAAGAACCACCTTCTACATTAAGACCTTCCTGATCCCTCCAACTGCTAGTGTCTTCCTTCCCAATCTATCCTATATTTAACTATTTTGTATATATTTGTATTTACTCACTTAGCATTTATGCTGTGTATATTTATGTAATTAATGTCTCCCCACATTAGGATATAAGCTTTGTGTGTAGGTATCATTTCCTTCTTGTTACCTGTATCACTAGAGCCTAGCATGGAGCCCAGCACATAGTAGGCAATTAAATACCTGATGACTGACTAAGAAAGGGGAGAAGTGTATATGTGGCTTGAAAGGAGGTCTAAAATAGATGCTAAGGAAAGTGAGGTACGGAGATAATCATAGAAAAGTAAAGTTTGCAGTAGTAAGGACCCACTTGGGAGATGAGATAGATGGATAGATAGAGAGAGAGATGGATGGATGG